TCGCTCCATGAAGATGGACAGAGGACTGGGAAAATGGTTCCAAGGCTGAGATCAATACCAGCGAGACTGAGGACTGAGTAGGTGTCATGGAGGTGAAAGTTCAAACTAGGACCAGCCGGTGCCAAAATGCAAAATAAACTAAAAAAATGTATTATCTTCTGCTTTTTAAGGGCAAAATGGCGGCCGTGCATGCGCACAAACCAAATCTCCATGTGGCCGGAAAACGCATCATTGCGCGCACAATCCGGAAGTGCGCGAAAACACGTGCATCGGCCGTCGCACAGGAAGTGATGCTGCTACCTGGTTAAGCTCACCATATAAAAACGAGCCGGCCCTTGCTCCATTGCTGATAGTCTTTTCAGCTAGTGTTCCCGTGTGCTTGTACCTGTTGGATTCCTGTGACCTGCCTGACCCGGTTTGTTTGGACTTTGCTACTTAATTGCTGCCTGCCCCTGACCTCGGCCTGTTTCCTGCAGTCTGCCTTCTGCCTCCTGATTTTGTACTCTGCTGCCCGGCTGGCTCCGACCTCTGGCTTTCCTGACTACGCTCCAGTCTCTTGTTCCTGCTCCCACGCTGACTGCTCGGTGGACCTCCCAGCTTGTTGACTACACGTCATCAGGACATCTCCTGCACAGTGTCGGTTCCCATCAGTGGCACTCGTGCTCCTCGCTGTCCAACTGCTGCCTGTTCCCACCTCCGGGGGCGGAAGAACACGAGTCGCAAGAGAAGTATCCTGACCATCCGGTCTCTTACTAGGTATGTGACAGCACCCCTTATATGCAGCTGTGACTATAAGCCCAGAAGCTGGTGATAGGGTACATCTGGACTTTCCAATATGACAATGATCCAAAACATAAGTCCACTTGACCCTTCAGTGCCTACATCAAAAAGAGGCCATCACGATCTCCTGGCCACAACATCATTGAGCCACTTTGGAGAGATCTCAAATATGTAGTTTATTCAAAGACAACCAAAGAAGATCTGGGTGGATTCTTGCCAAGAATGGGCAACTTTACCAAATCAGGAACCTCATTCACAACCACCAAATACACACGCTTTTGTCACAGTTCTGGATGGACATAATAATCACCCAAATAGTCCATCTGGGACCTAAATGTTCCCTCCATAGTTGCTTGCAAACGTTCTGTCTTTCCACAAGGATGGTTGTGTTATTGTAGACGTTGTATCATAAGTAACAGGACTTCTCATAGGCTTTACGTTTCTTCAGAATCGTCCTATCAAAAATTGGAGGTTTCCTGAATTTTAAAGTACACCGATATTCAGATAGAAAACCTTCTCTGAAGTAAATTTTCTCCAGAATTCCTCACGTAAAGACCACATAAGGCCACGTAGTCTTCGCTGAGTTGAAGCATCGGGATACGGGTTATCTTACGTGTCATCTGCAGTCTCTAACTCACCCATGCTGATCTCCATAAGATCTTCCTCCTCTTTAATCTTCACGTGTCCATCTTCTTCCTCCTCAGCTTTGACGTCGCTCCGAGTGTCTCCGGTGTCTGTGAATAAAGATGAGAGTGAAGCCCCTGTACTGAGATGTATGAGAGACCCCAGAGAGTGTGTGTGGGGGGAGACTGGTCACGTCTCTTGGCTGGTAACACACAATGACATGATGTGAGGAGGAGAGCCGGAGTCTAATAGAGGCTGATGGCTCCTGACTCCCCCCACTAGACACATTCCGTCCCCCCATTACTGTCTACTGACAGAGGAGGGGGGAGAAGAAGAGATTGTTGTAGTGACTGAACAAGGAGAATCTGGGACTCTTTTCTGGATTTAGTGTTTATTCCTCACCTGTGCTGATCTCTAGAGAACGTTCCTCCTCCTTACACGGCTCATCACCCCTCGTAGATGTTTTTTTTGCTGCTTCTTCAACTTGAACTTTATTATTCAGATTTTGACTCTAAATAAAGAAAACATTGATAGTCCATTAGATTAAGAGCAATGACATTAAGACTATATGGAGCTCATATCAAATAAGGTTACTGTTTTATTTCGGAAGACCTTCAGCTCCACCTACCTGATCCTCCTGAGGGATCTTCTGATGTTCCTGTGTGGAATCCCGGGAATACAGAGGACGGGGACATCTCTCTGAGGTATTTCTGTTCCTGGATCCATCTGTAGGAAACACACACACTGACTGAATACATTGTTTCTATGTCTTTATATCAGAGGATGTGTGTATCTAGGGGGATCCTCAATACTCAAGAAATTAAAGTCTCCTCTTACCCGGTGATGTGAGGGGCCGCCGGTTCTTCATCATCACGTCCTTCTACAGATCCACGTGTCCTTCTAAATACTCCTCTTTCTGCTGGTTTGCAAAGTTTTCACAATTAACAAAATCACAATTAAACATTTCTATCCTCAGAAATTCTGAAATGAACAGAAGCTCAGAGGATGAAAAAAAGAAAACAGGTCTCGCGTAGTTCAGCGTTCTTCAGCAGCTAAAGCCTCCGGCAGCTACGGAGCGGTGAGCTCTGCGCTGTCTTTAAAATGGCGATATCTCTGGCAGACGCATGGAAAACACCATGGATGAAAAGTTTTAGGAAAAGCAAATTCTTATAGAGCATTATTACCTCCTCAACACAGAGCACACAATCTTCAGCCTCACATCGCACCAGGAATTGCCTGTGGTCATAAAGGCTCCTCCTTTCTTTTTAACCAGGCTACAAAAAAATGGCTCCGTCCTCCACACAGTATAATTATACAACTATAACATGTCCAAAAATGTAACATGACCTCAACAGAAAACAACATAATAAGCACAGTTGATATGTACCATTTTCTCAAGTTGAACTCTATGGACTAAGTAGGAAAAATACAATACAATAAACTGGTCTACAAGAAAATGGCCACTTTCTGGCCTGAGGACACTTCCTTCTCTCACATGGCCACTTCCTGGACTGGGGACACTTCCTTCTCTCACATGTCAGAGGGTCGCCCTCTAGTGGTGGCTCCACTAAGACACAGGACAAACATTCCTGTTGCTGTGTTCACATGTTCTATGACTTTTCAGTCTAACAGTTGGGACTGTAAACACTTAGGGTGTCTATTTATAACAAATTTGCATATGTATTCGGCCTCCAAACCGGCATGCACATTCGTTCCGTGTGATTTATCCAGCATTCCATTTTTTGTTTTAGTGATTTCTTGCACAGTTGTCACTGTGTTACGTATGGATAGGGATTCTGGACCCCCCATGTAGCCTGCAGGCTTCATGGCGGTGTGCTTGAGGAGCAGAGTCTAAGGACTGCTTGGTATTACCAAGGCCACCCTGCAAGGGGCGATGGGCTTTGATGCAGGACAGCTCCTAGGTTGTGGCCCTCAAGCACTCTTGTTCAGGCTACGGCTGACCAGATACAGCGATGAACAGGTGTCAAGAGTCTTGGAAAAGAGGTGCTGCACTCACAGGAAAGGCAAGAGTGCCATTGTCTCTGGGAGCCCCCAAGGCTTTGTCTCACGGGAAAGGCAGGAGTGCCATTGTCTCTGGGAGCCCCAAGACTTTGTCTCATGGGAAAGGCAAGAGTGCCATAGACTCTGGGAGCCCCAAGACTTTGTCTCATGGGAAAGGCAAGAGTGCCATAGTCTCTGGGAGCCCCCAAGGCTTTCTTTTCATGGGAAAGGCAAGAGTGCCATTGTCTCTGGAAGCCCCCAAGGCTTTGTCTCATGGGAAAGGCAGACGTGCCATAGACTCTGGGAGCCCCAAGGCTTTGTCTCATGGGAAAGGCAGACGTGCCATAGTCTCTGGGAGCCCCAAGGCTTTGTCTCATGGGAAAGGCAGACGTGCCATAGTCTCTGGGAGCCCCAAGGCTTTGTCTCATGGGAAAGGCAGACGTGCCATAGTCTCTCGGAGCCCCAAGGTTTTGTCTCATGGGAAAGGCAGGAGTGCCATAGTCTTTGGGAGCACTGGAGTCCTGGACTCACGGGAAGTTCACTAAGAGTAGACAGGGACACAGATGTAGGAATACTGGAAGCTCTCTAGAGGTACACAGGGCACATGGGTGCAGGGATGCTGGAGTACGCAGGACTGTAAAGACATTCTCAGGAAGACACAGGGGGCTCTGCTGCTAGCGTGGTGATGCAGACAGCTCTGGGTAACGCGGAAGTGCTTAAGACACAGGGAGTACCAAGATGCTAGGAGAACCGGCGTGAGAAACTCCTGCAGCACTGGGGTTCTGGGAACAAAGGCGTAATAGTCTCTTGCAGAACCGGAGATCTGGATACACAGGGGTGTGAGTATCTAGCAGCAATGGGGGTTTCAGGCATCCCGTAGCAGCAAACAGGGCAGCTTACTATACACGGGAAGTATTGCATTTGGTATTTGTCACCACGGTGGAGAGCGGTGATATGCTATGTGAGCATGAGGTATAGATGGAGTAGGGGACTTGAATACATTTAAATACCTGAGAACCTTGTTAGATGCACATGCACCTTGAGCACTTGCTGCCCTTACTTTACTTGCTCGGGATGGGTGGGCTTAGAGTGAAATAGTTGACAAGCGCTGGCAGGGACGGGTGTACGGTAAACAGGGGTGGAACATGAGGACGGGTTACACAGGGGGGGTGTTTTCTGCTGTCAGGCTGTATTAATACTGACTTGCTGTATATAAGATGGAATAAAGGCGGGGCTTAGAATCTTGACTATCTTCCATTTCTCATGTGACAATGCTGGGTGACTAAGCAGCTAATCGGCAAGCACCGGGATTTTTCACGTGGTAGGAAGGGGCAACAAGTCATATGCACCCACATGCAGGCAGTCCCTGTATTTCACTAATGGCAAAGGTTGGAGAACCTCTACAGTAAGACAAGAAAAAAGGGTGATTTTTTTAACCATTTTATTACTTTTAAATTAGGACACCAAGACACCCGTGTTTTCTGTGCTCTTACTCTGCTGCCACGCCCTGCCCAGGAACCTCTTGCCTTCGGTGGAAGCTGAGATGTGATGTGAGGGTGGATCTCCTAGAAAACCGTTTCCCGCATTCAGGACATGAATACGGATCTTCGCCACTGTGGACCTTCTCATGCCGCACCAGGCTCGATTTATAGATGAAACCTTTCCCACACGCGGAACATGAGTATGGGCGTTCACCCGTGTGAGTTTTCTGGTGCCCAATCAGATGTCTTTTACAAGAAAACCATTTGCCACATTCAGAACAGGAATATGGGTGATCGCCCGCATGGACCCTTTGGTGCTGAACCAGATTTGACTTCTGGGCAAAGCCTTTCCCGCACTCGGCACACGAATACGGACGATCGCCGGTGTGAATCCGTTTGTGTTTAGCAAGGTCCGACCTAAATGCAAAACATTTGCCACATTCGGAACAAGAGTACGGCTTCTCTCCCGTGTGAACCCTGCGATGGGAAATAAGATATCCTTTCCGGGTAAAAGATTTGCCACATTCAGAGCAAGAAAACGGCTTTTCCCCGGTGTGAGAACGCTGATGTTTGGTAAGGTTCGATATCTCTGCAAAACTTCTCCCACACTCGGGGCAGGAGAACGGCTTCTCCCCCGTGTGAGTTCTTTCATGGGACATAAAATGAGCTTTGTGGTTAAAACATTTCCCACATTTGGAACAGGAATAGGTCTTCATCCCGGTGTGAGTTCTTCGATGGAATGCAAGTTCTGATCTCTGAGCAAAACTTTCTCCACACTCAGAACACGGGAACGGTTCACCTGCTATACGATCTGTAGCATGGGCGACGGGAGGTAAGCGATCGGGAAAATTCCCCCTGTGTGTGGACCGATCAGATGACAGATCTGCACTGAGGAGGACTGGATGGAGATTTGAGGTAAAGGAGTTTCCTTCTGAAGAGTCGGATGTGATGTCGTCTTCTACCACCTCATCTGGAGAGATGATGAGTCGTTTCTCCCGGTTGTACTCTCTGTATCGTCCATCTGTAGAAAGCAGGACAAGAAGAGGTCAAAGAAATCAGGGCCACTGTGAAGTCATCAACTACAACCAACTTGGACCACACCATGGTGGTCCATTCCGGAAACATCCAACTGTGATCACAACGCTATCCCATGCACCTACCATGGACTGAAGTAGGACTACTAAGTGAGTATTACATTTCAATATCTATGATCCCGCTCCCACCCAAACCTCATTGTTCTGTTCTTATTGTTCTGGAAGCAGAGGCGGTCTTCCCAAAGCCAAGCTCCACCCAAAGGAGCCATATGGAGTCTTTTCAGTCTAATACTAGGTTCCGATGTCCACCCAGCAGAGAAATCTGTGACTCCATTACAGGAGCCTCATTTTGTTTACTGTTCCGGACTCATCACATATGCTTGGGCAGAGACTCCATAAAATACACATGTCCAGTTTTCTGGATATGTTAGGTACAGTTGACACCACAGTGGACATCATGAGAACAAAGACCTTCTGGTGGTGAGGGGACTGTTGTGGTTACCACACGAGGAAGATGTTCTAGGTCTTTATATTCTTACTCACCTGAGCTGATCTCTGGAGGAATGTCCTCTTCCTTGTCACCCCACACATATGTCTGCTCTTGGGTTTCTCGGCCTTCAGTTCTGTATTCAGTCCACTTTTCTTCCTACGTATCACCAAGAAAATCAAAAGGTGTATTTTAAAGTTTCATGAGCTGAGAGCGGACACCAGAGATACATTTCTTGCTGGTTTACTCCATCTACCTGATCATCCCGATGGAAATACAAAGGACGGGGACATCTTTCTGGTGTGTTTCTGTTACTGGATCCATCTGTAGGTTTTTCCTTGGTCTTACACGGCCCATCAGACCTTAAATATGTCTCTTGTCTTTCTGTGACATCAACTTTAATCGCATGTTTGGTCTAAGTAATTGGAAACAGTTTTATTAACCCGGGTCCAATCAGCTTCTAGGTAAGTCATGAAGCAAATCTGAGAAGAATCGCAAACCAGACTTTACCTGATCCTCCTGAGGGATCTCCTGATGTTCCTGTGTGGAATCCCGGGAATACAGAGGACGGGTCTGAGGGATCTCCTGAGTGGAATCCCGGGAATACAGAGGACGGGCCTGAGGGATCTCCTGATGTTCCTGTGTGGAATCCCGGGAATACAGAGGACGGGGACATCTCTCTGGGGTATTTCTGTTCCTGGATCCATCTGTAGGAAACACACACACTGACTGAATACGTTGTTTCTATGTCTTTATATCAGAGGATGTGTGTATCTAGGGGGATCCTCAATACTCAAGAAATGAAAGTCTCCTCTTACCCGGTGATGTGAGGGGCGGCCGGTTCTCCATCATGACGTCCTCGTAGAGATTCCGGTGTCCTTCTAGATACTCCCACTCCTCCATGGAGAAATAGACAGAGACATCCTGACACCTTATAGGAACCTGACACACACAATGATACAGTCACCATCCAGACACATCCCTTGTCTGTTCCTGGATCATGTCCCAGAATCCCCGGCACCGCTCACCTCTCCCGTCAGCAGCTCAATGATCTTCTGGGTGACTTCTAGAATCTTCTTGTCTTTACACCTTTCAGGTATCACGGAATGAGATGCACCCATCATGAAGGAGTTCTGGCTCTTGCTCCATGCTCCTAGTACATAGGGATGGCCACTGGTTGTCATATGTTCACTAAATGCCTTCTTCACTACTTTGTAATTCTGGGAATAAAAAGACAGTTTTACTTTACTATAAAAAATAATTATTCATATCCCACAATGTAGCCATCCTGCTGTTATCCTACTAATAAAGTAATGTTACTGTCAGTTCCTTTAGTCACCTCACCTCCTTGTCTTATTAATAGAGATAAGAGTGATGTCATGTGACCTCCCAGAATCCTCCTCACCTCTCCGGTCAGGTCTGTGTATTATTACTAGAGATAAGAGTGATGTCATGTGACCTCCCAGAATCCTCCTCACCTCTCCGGTCAGGTCTGTGTATTATGAATAGAGATAAGAGTGATGTCATGTGACCTCCCAGAATCCTCCTCACCTCTCCGGTCAGCAGGTAGATGATCTCCAGGGTGAGGTTTAATATCCTCTCAGTTATCTTCTTCCCTTCCTCTTCCAATCTTTTAGGATCAGCCATGACTCAAGAACTGGATTCAGGTTCTCATGGAGGAACCTCCTGATGTGGAGGTCTGAAGAGATGTGGGGTCTTGCCCTATAAATAAAAGTAGACAGTTGTTTGGCGAGTAACACAATCGCTCCTGAAAAATTTTAAGGGCTTTAAACTTCTACAGTGGACACATTTTTTCTCCAATAGCGTGTCCTCTAGGGTCTTGCCAATGCTAAAAAATATGGGTCAGCATGGTGGCTAGATGGGTAGGACATTGGTCTTCCAGCATTAGGGTAGAAGGTCTAAATCCCACCAGGAATACTATCTTCATGGAGAATGCCCCCCCTCAGTCGTCCCTCATTTTTGGTCTGATGTGTAGACCTCTATAACCCAAAGTGGTATTCTACACGAAACCTTTCATCCGGCCTCTGAATTATTTCATTTCCTATTCTGAAGAGCCCGTATAAAGAACATTATAACCAGTTATTTTGGCATATTGATTCATCACCGTCCGCGTAACGGGCTGCGATCTTTGCCTACATACAACATGTCCCAGTTTCCCATCTCGGAAAGTTGGCTAGTCTTGGGGTCAGCTATTGTTTTAGGTGAATGTAGTATACAGTGAGGTCGTTGCTGCAACATAGGCGCGGGACAGACCACCAAATCGTACCACCTGTGCCAAGGGAAACACCAATCCCTATTCCAAAATGCGCTAGAAAGGGGACCATCCTGAAAACGCACCTGACGTCCAAGCTATGCCTTTTTGGATGCCCCTTGTTCGCCCCCAGACCCATCCACCTGCATGGAGTATATTCTTGAATTCCAGATATATATATATAACAATACTCATACCTATCCCAGGAGGCTCAACTCAGTCCAGGCATATACAGGCTGTCCTACAGAAGTAAATACACAATGGGCAGAGCAGAGGTTCTGCCAGCTGTGCTCGTCTCAATTCTACAATTTCCTGGTGGACCACAACAAAATGGCCGCGGCTCTGTTTTTCCCCCCCACCAGTTGCACTACGAAAAAATGGCCGCCGCGCTCTAGTTTTAGCTATGGGGTGATATAGGACCCAATAAGCATTCTGTGCGCGCTCGTGGAATGCGGCCATCCACCAGCAGAGGGCGCAGGTCGGCACTCATAAGCCTTTAAAATAGTAATCCACCAGAAGAGGGCGCAGTTCGGCACTCTCAAGCCTGTAATATACCGTCATCCGCCAGCAGAGGGCGCAAATCAGCACTCACAAGCCTGTAAAATACCGTCATCCGCCAGCAGAGGGCGCAGATCAGCACTCACAAGCCTGTAAAATACCGTCATCCGCCAGCAGAGGGCGCAGGTCGGCACTCAAAAGACTGAAAAATGGTGATCAGCTTGCAGCGGACAGAGCGCGGCACTCACAGATTGAGCTTATCTCCAACCTAACCTGAGCATATCTCCAAGAATCCAACCACAGCTGACCTCATCTCCAACCACACCTGACCTCATCTCCAACCACAACTGACCTCATCTCCAACCACACCTGAGCATATCTCCAACCACACCTGACCTCATCTCCAACCACACCTGAGCATATCTCCAACCACACCTGAGCATATCTCCAACCACACCTGAGCATATCTCCAACCACAACTGACCTCATCTCCAACCACACCTGACCTCATCTCCAACCACACCTGAGCATATCTCCAGTCTCCAACCACACCTGACCTCATCTCCAACCACACCTGAGCATATCTCCAACCACACCTGAGCATATCTCCAACCACACCTGAGCATATCTCCAACCACACCTGAGCATATCTCCAACCACAACTGAGCATATCTCCAACCACAATTGACCTCATCTCCAACCACAACTGACCTCATCTCCAACTACACCTGAGCATATCTCCAACCACACCTGGCCTCATCTCCACCCACACCTGAGCATATCTCCAAACACAACTGACCTCATCTCCAACCACACCTGACCTCATCTCCAACCACACCTGAGCATATCTCCAGTCTCCAACCACACCTGACCTCATCTCCAACCACACCTGAGCATATCTCCAGTCTCCAACCACACCTGAGCATATCTCCAACCACACCTGACCTCATCTCCAACCACACCTGAGCATATCTCCAGTCTCCAACCACACCTGACCTCATCTCCAACCACACCTGAGCATATCTCCAGACTCCAACCACACAATCTTATCTGCATGAGATGACTGTCACCACACTCACACTGCTGGCTGTAGGTTTCATGGCTGTACAACAAGTACCAAAGGGC